CCAGTTGTTTAAGGATACAGGTGGATCTGATGCAACAATGAGAAGTACAAGTTGTCATGTCCAAAACGAGCTTTACAACGTGGGTGCGGGGGGTGGGGAAGGGGTTGGGGGGGAGGGGGAAAGGAGAAGGATTGGGATGGGGGGGAGAGGGGAGGCTGGGAAGGAATGTGAAGGGTAAACAAAGGAGGAGGCTGCAATGCTTGGTAAGAAATGTACGCATTATCCTGATCATGCAATTGTAACCCCTCTGTACAGTATGTTCACAAATAAAATAAAATAAAATTTAAAAAAAAAAGAGTTTCGTAGACTTTCCTGCGGTGCGGCTTTGAATCACGATCCTCAGATCTCAGCCTCCTAAGTAGCTAGGATTACAGGTGTGAGCAACTGGTGCCCGGCTCCATCAGGTGTTTTTCTGAAGATATTCCACTACAAAATTTTACTCCTTCCCAGGCCTCTCCTTTATCTGTTTTAGTATGAGTTGTCTTTTATGAAAACAGTGTACTAGCTGGGATTTATGCAGGATTTTGGGTTAAAGCCACAATGGATTTAGGAATGAGAATTTTTTTCCTTTAATTTTGTATATTTTATACAGTGATATATACACAGAAAAGAGAAACAGCTTATTTTTAAAATAAATAAAAACTACCAATTTATTTTTGTAGTTGAATGGCCCATACTGCAAATGCCTAGGAGCTACATATGGCTAGAGTTTACTATATTTGACAGCACATATACATAACTATCATCACAAAAGTTATATTGGATAGCATTGATTTACATGTAACTAGCTAATGCAATTATGTTAAATAAACTCAATAATAAAAAGTAAGTGTACAAGTTAAGGTAACTACAAGTATTAAAACACAAGTACTAAAAAAGGAAATGCCTTCAAAAACAGAACTCAAGGGCAATAACTAAAGTGTAAGTAATCATTTCAGGTAAAATTACATAATAAATACCAGCTCCTTATCCAATATCATCAAAAACACTTAACAGGTCTAACCACAAGGGGAATTTATTCCTTATCCCTTAAAAAGTTAGCATCATAATTTTACCTGTTTTAAGATCAGTTTTCTAAAGGAGGAGGCGGCACGGGAATGCGGCAGAGTTCAAGTGTGGAATTCATTTGTTGAAACTTAAATGTTTGCCAGCTCTATAAAAATAAAAGTGAAAAACCATAAAATGTTTAGATAATATGCTCAACAATGTAATACAAAGAACTGTTTTGATGCTACATTTATAATTACAGCTCACCTACTTTTAAAAAAATTATAGAGCCTGTAATCTTAGCTACTTGGGAGGCACAGATTGAAGGATTAAGGTTCAAGACTACTATCCCAGGCCAAAATAAAGTTTGTGTAACTCCAACTCAACCAGTGGTTGTTAACAGTAGAGGAGGCACAATGGCTGCACAGTGGCATATGCCTAGCCATCCTTAGGAATGTGGGGAAGCACTAGTAAAAGGATTATTGGTGAGGCTGGCCCAGACATAAAGCAATACCTTACCTGGAAAATAACCAAAGCAAAAAGGGACTGGAGGCATAGCTCAAATGATAGAGGACTCTAGTATAACACCTAGTACCACAAAACAAAAACAGCCAATTATAGATTCCAAAAATTTCTGTAATAACTATTTTACTCATATATCTTTAAATATAGCAAAATTATTTTGGAAATAGAAAGTCTCAATTTTAATTCCAAACTTGCCATTAATTATCTGTGAGACCCTGGTTAAGCCACTGAAAATTATCTGGATCCTAACTTGGATAACCTACAAAGTTATATTGCTTCTAGACAAAAATTCTGTTTCTTTTTAAAATTTAGTACAGTGATCTATCTTTTCCCTTCTCCCTCATCCTTCTCATTTACACACACACACACCACACACAATTTAAAACATAAATCCCTCTTACACACACACACACACACACACACACACCACACAATTTAAAACATAAATCCCTCTTACAGCTCAGTGGTACAGTACATGCTTAGCATGTTTGAGGCCTTTGGTTTGACCCCTAGCATCATTCCTCAAAAAAATTTAATATTCATCAAAAAGGAAAAGTGGAAATGTTCTAGATTCAAAGAGTTGAGCTAATGCTTGACTGATTTTTCTCATGTTAGGTGACTTTAGCTAGACATGCTGCCTTTCAGCAAATCTAAAATTTCACGTCATCACTTAAAATTAAGCACAATTAAATTTACCTTGCTTTTTACTCACCATTTGCTTTTAGGGAGGCATATTTTCTCAAAATTGAGGGTAAATTACACAATAATTTATAACAATAACACAGGATAATAGCACAGGCAGAGAGTTTCTCCAAACTGAACTACATAATGTATAAATGGAACTTTAAAATTTTTGTGTTTGAAATTTTTTCAGAATTTTAAAATATTTTTTGACCATACATGTCAAAACTATGCATCATAAACCTGTGACTAAGGCAAGTTTACTCTGTCTTCTTGTGACTGGCCTATGTCATTTACCATAATGCCCTCAAGGTTCATTCCAGTTACAGCATATTGCAGAATGTCCTTCTTTTTCAAGACTGGAGAATTTTTTGCTTATCAATTTTTCTGTTAATAGATGTATGAGTTACTTTCATGTTTTAGATATTGTGAATTATGCTTATATGATGAGTATATAGATTTCGTGAAGATCTTGCTCTCCATTTTTTTTTTCTTATTGAAGGCATTAGAGTTTGAACTGAATGCCTCACTTGGCTAGCTTGCTCACAGGTAGAATTCTACCACTTGAGCCTCACCTCCATCCTTTCTTTTTGAGAGTGATTTCAGAGATAGAGTCTAGCAGACTTTTCTGCCCAGGCTGAAATCTGGGATCCTAGCTAGGATCACAGGTATAAGCCATTGGCACTTGGCTTCCATTCTTTTGGGTATATATGGATGGGACCGTAAGTTATAATCCATAACTAAAATCAGTGAAAAGAGAAAGCAAGAAACTTAATAGACAGGGATAAGTCAGCAAGTATCTAAGTACCAATACATTTCTCCCTCTTTTTTCTTATCAAAACCATAATTATTTCTTAGAGTTAGAAAAGTTTTAATGTACTTTTTTCTCATTATAAGTGTAATTAAGTGTATGTAAGGTAACTTATCTTTAAAATTTAAGATTTACAGGAGGAGGATGCAATGCTTGGTAAGAAATGTACGCCTTATCCTGCCTATGCAATTGTAACTCCTCTGTACAGTATGTTCACAAATAAAACAAAATTAAATTTAAAAAAAGATTTAGAAATTTACAAAATAGGTAGTCAAATCTGTTTATATTTTTTGGGTTTTTTTGGGTCCGGTCGTGGGGCCTGAACTCTGGGCCTGGGCGCTGTCCCTCAGCATTTCAGCTCAAGGCTAGCATGCTACCACTTGAGCCATAGCACCACTTCCGGCTTTTTTTTTCTGCTTATGTGATGCTGAGGAATCGAACCCAGAGCCTCATGCATGCAAGGCAAGCGCTCTACCACTGAGCCACCTTCTCAGCCCATTTATGTTTTTTACAGTATTGTGCTTGTTTCTAATAAATGCCTTCTCTATTCCAAGGTGTTAACAAACTCAACCTATGTTTTCTTAAGTTGTTTTATTATTATAGATCTTCCTTCTTTCCTTCTTATCTCACTCCATCCTCTCTTTCCTTCCTTCCTTTTGTTTGGGGTTTTTTTTGGTATCATGCTTCTTGAACACAGGAACTTACACTGTCACTTAGCTTCCTTGTTCACAGTTGACACTATTTCACTTGAGCCATGCCTCTAGCTGAGAATTTTGCTGGTTAATGGGAGGCTCTTGCAGACTTTTCTGCCCAGGCTGGCTTTGAACTGCGATCTTCCAGGTCTCAGCCTCTTGGGTAGCTAGGATTATAGATATGAGCCCCCAGCACCTGCTTATAGGTCTCTTTTCTATTACTGTGTGTTTGTGTGTGAGGGGGGGTGAGGAGTGAGCAAGGGAGTGACACAGAAAGTGAGGGTAGTTATCAGTACTGAGGTTTGAACTCAGGGCCTGTGTTCTAACTTGTCTTTTGTGTTCAAGGCTGGTATTCTATTACTTAAACTACACTTCTACATTTGCTTTTTGCTGGTTAACTAAAGATAAAGAGTCTCACTGAGTTTTCTATCCAAGCTGGCTTTAAACTGTGATCCTTGTATTTCAGCTTTTGGAGTAGTTATGATTACAGACATGCGCCACCAGCTCCCAAACTATTAGTGAATAATTTTATAACATATACTATATATTAGCATGATTTTAAGCATTTTACATAATCCACTCACCTAGTAACACTATATAATGGATACTGTTATAATCCCAAGTTTGTAAGCACTGAGAGGTTAAACCATTTGTCCAAGGTAAAGTCAAGCCAGTGTCAAGCTAGAGTACAAGTTTTTATTGAGGGGGATAGGGCTTCTTATGCAGCCTAGGCCAGATTTGAACTTGAAATACTTCTGCTTCTCAAGTAGTACTGAGATTATGGCATGTACCACCATGCCTAGAAACACTAAAAGAACTCTGAGTAGTAACCTACAGAATACCACACTTACACTGAGAACATATTATTTGGCCCAGTCAGCAGTTATTGTAGTAAAAGGTACATACATGCTACAGTGTAGAACTACAAAAAATTTAAGAAGCCTTCCACTCTGATGTCATTTTTAAGGGTCCTGTGGTCTGTGCTAGGCTGAAAATGAAGGATAAGTTGTTGTAGCTTAGTCAATCACCAATTGGAAATAAGCATGGTATCGGGTGGGACTGTTTTAACTTTGAAAATAAAATAAGCTATATTTTAATGTGTGGCTCTGCCCCATTTCCTGAATAAACCATAAAGTGGTCAGCTGAAATAGTGTCCTGGATAAGAAAAAGCATTCTCAAATACTAACAGTACAAAATATGCTAAGATCTGAGAATTAGGAAATAGAAAAGTCAGTAGTAGCAATTTCCAATTGTTTCTGCTACTAATACCTTCTGTTCTCAGAAACCTGTTAGTCCTATTAGTAAACTCATTAGTTCTCTTAATAAACTATAACTTCTCTAGACAATGGTGAATATCGTGTGTTGGTAGTATTTAACAGGACCTAGTACACTGCACTTAATTCATGCGTATTGATAAAGCAAGAGCTGGGCTGTAGCAGCAGACACAGCATACAAAACATGGTATAGAATGGCAAAGACAACTAGTTCCCTTCCAACACAAATCCTCACTCCAGCTCCACTTTATATGCTTAGCTAAAGCCATCTGATTTTTACTTGCATCTAAGTAAAACACATGAGTACTAAATTCTGGTCACTGAGACCAGAAAAGTACAACATGGGAATTCTAAAAAGGCTTCTTAAAAGATGACAATGTAGGCTAGGCACTGATGGCTTACGCCTGCAATCCTACTCAAGAGGCTAAGATAAGAGGATCATAGTTCGAAGCCAGCCTGGGCAGGAAAGCTCATGGGACTCTCATCTTCAATTAACTACCAAAATGCCAGAAGTGGAGCTGTGACTCAGTGTGGTAAAGTGCTATCCTTGAACACAAAGGTTCAGGGACAGGGTCCAGGCCCTGAGTTCAAGCTCCAATGCTGACCAAAAAAAAAAAAGGATGGCAATGTACTACCCTGTAGCATGCATGTAACTGAACTGTTTTTCATCCTTAAGGAAAATGGAAAATAGCTGTTCTTCCTGTGGCTTGTCCTAAAGAGCTGCATTTTTAAAAAAAATCTGATGTTACAGACTACAAATGCAAAGTTTCAATGTCTTTACTAAAAGATCAGTTGGCAATTCAGCAATTCCACTCCTGGGTAGAGAACCAAAGAAAAGAATCCAGGAAAAGAAGAAGGAAAGAAGAAGAGGAAGAAGAGGAAAAAGAAGAAGAAGGAGGAGGAGGAGGAAGGAAGGAAGGAAGGAAGGAAGGAAGGAAGGAAGGAAGGAAGGAAGGAATCCAGTAAGAAAAAACAGTTGCACTTCATGTTTATTGCTCTATTTACATGAGACAGGAAATAAAATCAACCCAAGAATCTAAATACTGATGAATGAGTAAAGAAAACATAATGTTGAGTTTTACTGATTAAAATGAAACCCTGTTATTTGTAACAAAATCGATGAATCTGAAGGGCATTATGTTAAGTGACATGAGACACAAAAAGACAAATACTGAGTGAATGT